GCGTTTATTTCACAGATTTTTCAGGACAATGATAATCGACTTTTCCCGTAAGATATAATTGATCTTACAGGAGCTGAAAAGTTGGAAACTTCAAACGTAATACTTTCAGATGGATTGTGTCAATCGTGCTGCACAGATATGGTGCTCATGTTTTGACCAGCAAATTTCGAGAGTTAGCCGATCCGAATTTTCCGAATGTTCGCGAGATTGCTGCTGAATCGGCGTTGTGCTTTGTGAGCAGTGATGAATTCTTGGATGTGGCGAGACCGATTCTACACAAAACCATTTATATTGGCGGATTTGGTGTTCCGAACGAAGCTCAACCACTAGATGAGGTAAATTTTTAGGTTACGCCGTTTTCAACCTGTTCTTTCCACCAAAACTGGGCGATTAAACGATATGAAAGTATTGAAAATCCTACCAAGCATCGTCTTTTTTGAGTGATCATTGAGGATTTATTATCGATCTAATGTGATCTTGTTAACGTTCAGCCATATCGATCAATGATGAGGAAAGGCAAAAAAGGAGTGATACTCGTTTCACTCGGCACTGTCGTGCCCTCATCAAAGCTTACTGACCAGATGCGAGAAGATTTTTTCAAATGTAATGTTTCACGATGAATTTCAAAATTTTTAAAATTTCAGCACGATTCGACAAAAAGTAATAAATTGTTTTTTACTGTTCAATTAAACTACCACTTCAAATGGTAGGCAAATTTGTAGTGATAAACCTCAATGTTAGCAAGTCTGCAGTTGAATCATTTCACATAACGTATTTGTGAGTTGCGTTGCGATAAATTTGTCGTCATTTCAGTGTTTAAACATTTCTCCGACTATCATTTCATTTGGAAAATTGACGAGCAGGATGAAAAGGCACGAAAATTGGCAGCTGGATTAAAGAATATTGACTTGGTACGTTGGATACCTCAAAAAGATATGCTTGGTTAGGAACTATTCACTCATCTCGAATCCAGTATCAACCATAGCAATATTAATGAAATTTTGTATTGCACTCCAATCTAAGAAATTGATGAAAAATGCAAAGCATCTTCTGAGCTCAAAGTGAATTAGTATGGAATATAACGAAAGTGGTAATACTCCACCTAGTGTAGTGGTTATCATAGGGGGTGAAATTACCCATTTTGGGTTATTTGGAGGTGTCAAGAGGTGATGGAGGGGTTCGGGAAATCGGTATTTAGTGCAGTTGTTATGTTCTAGTAGAATTGTGATGGTGTTTTTTAGCTCGAATGTGTAAATGCGGTTAGTTGATGGCAACACTTTTCATCCTCCTATGANATAACATGGTTTGCATTCGTTTTAACAGGGTTTTCATTCTTTTCCGTGCTGTTGCAGTCGCTCTCATAGCTTTTATCACCGAAACTGTTCTTTTCTGCTAATTTCTCATTCATTTTACTCAACAATTAAAGTCAAATTCTCATTCTATCAAATGTACTCTATAATTGAACATTTGACTGCCGAGTGTTGTTGACTAATAATATTCGATTGTTGTATTGTTGACTTCGACTGTCAATACTCGTCAACACACCCAGTAAATAGTATATGCTATTGAATGAGAAATTGATTTGAACTGTGAAGTGAAATGAGACGAAGTGAATGAGAAGAAGTCAT